ATATATATATACATTAAATTTATTTATTTTATGTTTTTCTCTTTCGCTTCATAGATTTAAGAACAGAAACCTAGTTACAAGCTTCCTTTCCTCCTTAATGGGCCCTCTTTCTGATTAGAACACATAACCTGTGTTTTTAGTGTTGCGTTCATCTTCATCATTATACTTATTAGAGCGCTTCTTTCTGTATTGTGTTTGACCAGGGTATCCAAGTCTTTTTGTTCTCTTGATTTTTTTTGTTCCTTTTGCAATGGAGGTGAAAGAACCAGCTAGAATTTTGGCTACATTAAGGCCCTGGTGAAAGAGCCTTCTAGTCTATTGGGTTTGCAATGGTTAGTCGGCACCTTTTACCTTAAAATTGTGTTGAATGTGTCTCAATACACTAGTCTATTGGCTACATTAAGGCCCTGGTGATTTCTTTCTCAACAGGCAATTTCAAAAATTACTGTTTAGTTGGGCACTTGGTTGTTGCTTCTGTAGTTGAGTCTCCAATAAATTGAAAAGGTTTACGTAGATTCCTCAAAAATTTTTTAATAAAGCAGTGATGCCTAATATCGAGCAAAAACTTGAGTTGACATTTGCTAGATATGATTTTTTTTTTAAATTTCTAGCTAGACAATTTAAATATTGTTGTATGTAATCCAATAACTGACCCTTATTTATTAGCTTTAGTTTATGTGTTAGATGAGTCTAAATTTATCATTAGATTGGCTCTGTTTTGTAATTTTTTGGTTTTCTGAGAAAGAGAGCATAGAGCAAGAAATTCATGTATGGATACAAGATAGTATTGGGGATTGATTCAAAGAGAACATTGAATTACTCTGGTTAATGAACACCAAATATGTTGGAAAATAGTAAATATTTGACCCAACATCTATAACTTATCCCACCAAGTAGGAGAAGAAAAAAATCTTCTATTTTCTGGGCTATCATCAAGAAAGAAGGAATAGTTTTCAATCCTGCATTGAATAGCTTTGTTTCAAGGTTATTCAACTAGCTTAATTGGTGGTAGTGGCCATATACGTTTCGATTGAAAATACAAGATCATTGGAGTGTATGTCTATTTTATTTTATTTTTTGGATAAAAGTATATAAAAGATATATTCATGTATATAAAACTAAAAAAACAAACATTCATAAGGAGCATAAGTTAAAACCCATGATCCAATCAAATGATTTGATTTAAATAGGCAAGTTGATTTGATTGAGCAAATAACATTTAGATTGTTGAATGTTTACGAAGTGAATGAGAAAAAGCCCAAAATAGTCCCACGACTATTAAAAAGCGTCCAATTTAGTCCCCGAGTTTTAAAATACTCCAATTTCATCCCTGACTATTAAAAATTGTTCCGAATTGGTCCTAAATAAAATTTTTTGTTTAATTTAACAAATTTTTTCACATTTTGAAGGGTAGTTCTGTCTATTTACTAAATTCACCAATTAAACATGTATGGCATGCCGGTTTACACCGGAGGATTCATATGCAAAGTAGTTTCACTTTAAACCTAAATCTTCGATGCTCCTCAACTTGTGCGGCTTCTCCCCTTCTATTTCACCATCGATTGAGAAAACAACTCAAAGCACATATTTATTTGTTGTCTCTTCGGGATAGGTGCATTACTTGCAGTTTTGTGCTCGATTACTTGAACTATTAAATGAATGAGATCCATCCAATCTCACTAAACGCACGTATGACATTCCGATTCTCATTGGAGGATTCATGCGCAAAGCAGTCTCACTTTAAACCTAAATCTTCGATGCTCCTCAACTTGTGCGGCTTCTCCCCTTCTATTTCACCATCGACTGAGCAAGCAACTCAAAGCACATACTCATTCGTTGTTTCTCTACTCGACGGAGCAATCTCTGTCTTCGTCTCTGTCTCCATCCACATTGCTTGCAATGACAACGATAAGACTTCGTTCCATCTAAGTGTGACTTCTCCCCTTCTGTTTCACCATCGATGAAGCAAGCAACTCAAGGCGAGTGCTCATTTGTTGTTTCTTTACTTGACGGAGCAGTCTCAGTCTCAGTCTCCATCCACAATGCTTGCATTGAAGACAAGGCTTTGTCTTCATCCGAGTGCTTGCACATCGTTCATTGCAAACAGAGAGGACTTACTTATGTTGGTTTGACTTGGAGGAGCTGCAACTCCTATCAAGTAAATACGACACTGTAAGTTCACGGAGATGAGTAATTTGTCGAAAAAGATATAATATATGTGGCAAAGTAAATTTTTTAATTAGATTTAAAAGCAGAAAATGGTGAAGAAACGGGCTTTCGAATTTTGTGATGTTTGCTTTTAATTGTATTTGAGCAGGTTTTATTTAGATATTAAGCAAAATTCAGCCTAAATCCAACAAGACATCATATACAATAATTTTTATGCAGGATGTATTTATAAATAACTACATAAATGATAAAAGTATCCTTCAATATCTTGTATGACACTATTAAATTTAATTGAAAATATGATTTAGCATCAATTTGGAACAAATTTCAATAGTTTGGGACTAAATTGAAGCTTCCTAAAACTTTGGTACTAAATTGGACAGTTGTCAACAGTCTGGGGATTATTTTGGGCGTTTACTCGGAAGTAAATTATCATCCAATTCTTCAATTTTGTAATTGTTTCAATTTGCTTTTCTGGTGCAATTAATCAATTTTAATAATTTGAATAAAAGTGGCTTTGTATTACGCGCTTCTTTAATAATTTTTGTAGTCGAATAATAAACTTTTATCCATGCAATTTTTCACTGATTGGTTGAGCAAAGCCATAGATTTTGGTTGATTCAATAGTTGTCTAGCTTCTTTCCTTCGCGGACTGGTATTTTTATTGCATTTGATTTTAGCCTTTAATTTATTCGGGCATGTTTGAGGTTATGTTGAATAATTAATTCATCCGAGTATAAAATCAATTTATTATTGGATTTTAAAGAAGTGTTAAATGTGGCATCTACATCAATTTTCTACATGATTGAGCCTATTTAAATGCTCAATGATGTAGAGAATTGATTTAAATTGCACCACTTTTCTTTGTTAAATTTGTTGGAATATGGCTGTCCTGAATTAGTTTGGTCTTGTACCTACAGTTTCCTAACATGACACTTAAATCTCAATGGAGTTATAGTTTATTAAGCAGATTTATCGAATGAGTTCAAGCTCTTAGCATTTTAGTTTGTTTGCTATGCTATTGTGTTTGATATTATAGATGTCATCAATTTGTGTTTCTACATAATATTTTCAAGGGTCTTGTATAATTTTTTTTTTAATTTTTAATAAACAAGTTGGTTGAAGAGAAGTCTCCTTTAGTTAAGACAATGCTGTCCACCATTTAGTTTTTACAAAGAAGACTGGCTCAACTCAGCTTCAGATTGACGAGCCAATTGATTCTGTTGCTCCTAAAGAGCAAACTAGTTGCAAAGTTCAACTGCTCTTATAATCTCACAGGAATCAGAGAAAACTGGTCATACTTACATCTTTGAGCCGATGGCAAGGTCAAATGCTAAGAAGATAAATTTAAGTATTGAAAGCTGTCATTATTTTTTTCAGCATAGAGTTAACTCATTAGTTATTTAGCAGCTTTGGATTATGTTATGCATTCTTCTGCTTTGCTGTCTCTTGATTCTACTTTGTTTGATATAACTTAAAATTTTTTTCCGGCTCTTCAATTTCTGTTCATTTCTTTCCATTTAAATACTTAGTCCTTCCATTCTGGTTGTGCTGTGGTAGCATAATAATTTGTAGCAAAGCAATTTTAGTTCAAGCGTTTTATGTTTGGTTTGCACTATTTTCTTACTTTTGGCATCAAGCTTTCTTGACAGCACAGTTACATCCTATATTTCTTTGGCACATAAACTGGCTTTCTTTTCTTTATCTAGTTTCTATTATTGGTTTATGAAGCAGTAAGTATTTCTTCTGGTATTTGCTTAAGCTGTGGTTTTATTAGTTACTTTTATGTTTGACTTAGGATTCTCCAGTTTTCAACTTCATCAATAGTTTGTCTCCAATTCAACCTGTTAAATCAGTGCACAGCATACATACATTTCATTCACCTGGTTCTGCTGCTCTTTCTTCGGTTTTTTCTTCCCCCCATGTCAGCTTGCATAAGGAATCTAGATTCTTAATAAGGTAATAATCATACTGCACTACATTCTCTTAAACATGCTTGTTTTGTTATGTATGTGAAGCATGTTTCCATCCCATGTATGCTATTAGGCACCCTTTCCCGGATTCAGTAAAACAGGAAGTCTCTTCTAATAGTTTGGATGAAAACAACTTACATTCTTTGGTTCCAAATGATGCTATACTTTCCACTTCTATCGTGCTTGCCCAAGAAAATTGCAATATAACTTGCTCTCTGAATGAGGCTTCTGTCGATCTTGTGGATGAAAGCTCATCTCAACCTGATTTTTCTCCGTCCGCACAAGTTGATAATGGTAGTCCAAACCATAATACTTTACCTTTCTATGGTGTGAAGTTGGATTTTAAACAGGATATCAGCTGCAGTCCGTCAGAACGGGTTAAGTTTGTTCAAGCTGCTTCAGAAAGCACACAAAATTCGTATGCCAATAACTTTGGCTATGAGGTGAAATTTCCAGCTGTTCAAATGAAGGAAGATGCTTCTGGAAGTGATTGGGAGAACTTAATTTCTGATAATACTGATGATTTGTTTATTTTTGAGCCTGCAACTGGTTCAGAACCTAGCAATTCTGAAGAAAAGGACAATAAAATCTCACTGAATTTACAGCCCAATGCTTCTTGCCTTCAGAATGACCCTCAAGTTTCTTTTACGGATGATGATGATGGAGAGACTCGCCAGGGACATGGAGTGAGCCACATGCTCAATCTATTCTCTACCACTTGCCATGAACCTGAAAATTCTGATGATCTGAATCAGAAAACCGAAGCTGAACTTTGCGATGGCCTAACTTTAGGCTGTAAGGTAACCTGATTCTCTGCATGGCTTTCTTAGCTTAGCTTGTTTGTTTCTCCATGCGTGATATCTCTCTCAAAACTATATTCTGAAATTGATAATTGGTAGCCTTAATCACCTTAAACTGCAATCTGATTGTTTTGAATTGTATTTTTTGCGGACAATGGAGTAGATTTGGTACTTTTTGTACTGTTTTAAGAGATAGAAGGGTTAAATATCAATCCAAGCCTATTGTCAGGATAAGTTTCTGTTAGGTAAGTTAATTTAATAAATATAAGGACTACAGTGAACATAAATTATTGTTTATATCAACACATTGTAGATCATGTCCTATATTTTGAGAGCACACTGCGGATAATTTTGTTTATGCTTGCATCAGTCATGAGGATTGTCATGGAATTTTGAAAGAAGTTATGACAATTTAATTTTTTGTTCTTTTCATTTAGAAAGTAATTTATCTGTAGGATAATTAGTTTTTTTTTGCACTGTTTTAAGAGTTTTATAATTATAGTTGGGGAATTTACATGTATACTACTGTATTATGCATTTTCACATTTAATACCTAACTTTTCATTTACCTATAAAATATGCTAATCTCTAAATCACATAAAAATGCTACCAAAATTAACTTATCTAAAAATTACCTATAAATGTTATTGATATTAAATTTTTTTGAAGTGACATGCATCTTTTTAACGGAATGTTAAGTTGCTGAGAAGAATATTGAGAGGATGAGCACTCATGCCAAGAGAAATCTGTTGAACTTCAGAAGATTTTGTGAACCTATTCCAATAAGTTTTGGGAATATGCTAACTCGAAAGTTAGGTAGTTCTGCAGTTAAGAAATTTGTAATCAAATAGTTTTAATTTTAGCTTCGCCCCAATTATCTGCTGTTGGAGTCACCTCATCTTAATTTTCATAAGTTTTAATTTGTGATTTTTTTGTAGTTGATTCAATGTAGTATGCTTGTAAGTTCTTTTTTTTATTCCTTACCATTCTTTATTGTTTGTATAAAGGAGTGCCACAGCAGGGAAAAAAAGAGAGAGGCTAACTTGGTGTGGTAGAGCCGTAAGAAAGAATGGATAAATTTTGTTTTAGGAGTATTCAAAGGGGAGATTGGGGAGGATTAAGATTTGAGAAAGTTAGAGAGCGAGGAGGAATTAAGGTTGCTTTATTTTTCTTCTTTATAATAGTATATTACCTTTTGTTAAAGAGATATTTGTTTTTTTTTTAAGAAAATAATATTTGAGATAACCGTTTCATCCCGCCCACTGAACTTGTTGATATGCACTTTTTCTAATTCTTTGTGGGTGTTTTGGATCATATATTCATTCATAGTACCCCTCATCTTTTCATGACTTAAGTAGTGTTTCAGAGTTCTTAAATGGATATCGAATTAGTATTTTTTTTTTTATTTATATTTTCTATTAGAAGTTCTCCAATGATTGTATAAATATTATAGAAATGTTGGAAAAAAAAAACACAACATATTTTTTCCACCTTTTGCATGATATTTGGGCTTTATACTATTTATCGCATTTTCATAAGTTGTAGTTTTTATCATTTTTTTGTTTAGAACATACAAGCGTTCGTTGCTACACTTCGCTTTTCTTTTTTTCCCCTTTTTTGTAATTACAACCTTAATTGCCACAAATACTGTCTATTTTTGTAGCTTTCATCACTTCATGTCCACAAATTGGTCATATTATTGCACTTTTCATCCCTGTACTATAATGTTTCATTCCTTTTTTGGTTTACTGTGAACAGAACCATAGTTTTTCCCTCCATGGGTGATAATAATAATATCCACATACCTTGGTTTCTTTTTCTCTTGGAATTGAGGGATGTATTTTAAGTCCAATGAAGAGTTTCAAAGTATTTGTTTAACATATTGATTAAATAGAACTATCTAAATGGTCGTGATTAGTTCATATATTCCTAAAGAGTAGAAGAAAATTGGGTCATTTGGCATGTAAAGACAAAAAGGCTTATTAAGAGCATTTGAAAAACATCTTCAACATGTATTTACACTATAGTATTCTCAGTTGTTATTTCATAGTTTTATGGTTCTAATGTCTCAAAGATGTCCATTTTTAACAGAGGGAATGATCAAAATGGTCCTCTTGACTATTTACAAGGATGAAATGGTTACAGGGGGTCAAATGCTCTTAGATTATGTAAAATGTCAATTTAATTCTCAGGTTATTTAAATAGAAACCAAAATGTTCTTTTGACGGGATTGTTTCAATCTCAATTTAAAGAGTGTAAGAATTGTTATGTTTTTTTTTTAAATAGTTTGGGGGCAACTTGTCCTTTTATATAGTCTGAATTCATTTTAGTTTTTTTCGCATTCTTAGCTTTTAGATCATTGATTTGGAGCTATAGATCATATGACCAACTTCTCTTGTCAGTTTATCTCTTGTATCCCTTATCCTAACAATATTAAAATAATCATGGCATGGCGATTCTTTATTGCTGTGAACTTTGCCTAAAAAAGGTTTTCAAGTTTTATGCTTTGAGGCACGCAAAAAATGCTTCGAGCTTTAATCCTTGTGATCATTAGTGAGATTTATTTCTTTATCATCTGAGGCTTACCCATCTAGGCTTTATGCTTTGAGGCATTTGAAGTAGTGCTACTGCCGAGTTATGGAAAAAATGATATATTACTAATATATGTTTATTATATTATATTTAACATATCAGAAATTAAGTCTAAAAATATCAAGGTGATTTAAGTATGTTTGCTTAATTGTATCACAAATTATTTTAAAATTATATTGGATTTAAGATTCATTAATAGTAAGAAGAAAATTATAATGAATGTAGAAGTTGTCAATGAGATAGAATTAAAGGATAATAAATATGATTCTTTTGAAGAAAATGAAAGAAAGGGTGACACCAATGCGTATCTTGAACTTCATGGTAATGTTTATCTATATTCACATTTCAATTTTCTATTTTATATAATATATTAGATTCAAATTTATGGTTTTCGTATTTATAATAATAAATTAAATTAGCATATCAATGATTAATGTCATATTTATGATTTTTTTAATTCTTTTTTCCTTTTTGGTTTTTGCGGCACGATCCGCTTCAGTGCTTACACCTATTCTTGTTAAGGCAAAACATCTCGATTTTTGATTTTGTATTGTTAAACATTGGCCGTGACTAGTCAATGTGATATGCTCACACACAAATATTTCTTCAAAATATCATCCATGCACTTAAAATATTTACCAACTTGTTATACTTTAGGAAGCTGACTAAGGATTTAAGTGCAGTATTATGTTTTATCTTTCACATTGTGTAGGAACAATTCATGGGGAGGATATCAGGGCTTGTTGAAAAAATGGTTTTAACCTTCTAAAGGGATTTAATTTTTAAGAAAATTTGTTGCAATCTTTAATTTTATCTCTTAGACTTTTTGCTAGAGCGTGCAACTGTAAATAAAAATTTTGTTCAGGTAAAAATTTGTATTTTTCAAAATATAAATTATAAATTTACGTTCACTGCAGTAATGCTGTAGCCAGTTTTACAGGCATCTGTAGCCGCCCCATGCAGGCCCTTTCCCTTATTTTCTTCTGTTGGATTTTGAATTGTATAAAATTTGTATTGGCTTTTGTTTCATTTTTGTCATTCTGTTTTGATTACGTCTTATAGAAAGTATAAAGAGTTCTCTCTCTTTCTTTGTTGAGGCTGACTCTAAACATCATCGGGGAGTGAGGAGGCGTTGTCTTGTTTTTGAGGCGGCTAGTGCTTCTAAAAAGAGCATGAATAGCAATTCAAATGTTCGCCCATCCATCCTTTTGCCAATCAATGCGATGTCTGATTCAGACAATCGGCAGCTAGTGCCTTCAAAATCTTCTGAAGCTCCTGTTCCTTATGTTTTACCTGGAATTGGTTTGCATTTGAATGCTCTTGCAACAACTTCAAAGGATGGATCGATTCCACAGATAATTAGGACTCCTGGGAGAGAATTTATCAGCAGGCGTTGTTCTGTGAAACCTTTTGCTCCTTCAAATTCTTTAGAAAAACAGCAGTTTAAGCTTTCGAAGCTTCATCAATGCCCAGATCTTATTGGTAGTGAAGTTCAGGACAGCCAGACTGTGCATTCTGATGTTTCATTGATACCTGCACTTGGGATTGAAGAATCAACTAGCCCTAAAAAGAGAAGGTATGGACGACTACCTGGCATCTGTTCACTTCACTCTTGCTGTATTTTTTGTGAGCTAAAGGGATACTTTTGAAGTTTCTGACCATTGATGAGCAGGCGTAAGACAGAAAGTAATGGTGAAAATGAAGGCTGCAGACGATGCAACTGTAAGAAGTCTAAATGCTTAAAGTTGTAAGTTTTTTATATCATTTCATTCTCCTCGATTCAAAATTACATTATACAATTTTCTTACTGATCTAATATGAGTGATTTATTGTTTCATGATTTCACGTCAAGGGTAACATATTGGTTTATTATGCCACAAAATTTGATCTAGTATTCTGATTATGTTCTTGAATTGATGTATTTTTTTGTGTCCCATAAACATCTCGGATGCATGCAAGGATTTGGTTCAATTCTGCCACTCAAATAGCAAATCTATTTTATTTAAATGTTGATTAGGGAAGGCGATTCATATTGCTAATGTGAAATCACAACAATTAAACAATAGTTGATTCTTTTCTTCAGCAGTTCAGTATCACTTGACCTCCCACCTTGTCTCTCATAGCTTTAGGGAATTGGATAAGAGAATACTGATGCAATACAAAACAAATGCTAAACTTATTTTATCTTAATGTTGATTAGGGTGGGCGATTCATATTGCTAATGTGAAATCGCAACAATGAAAAAATAGTTGATTCTTTTCTTCAGCAGTTCAGTATCACTTGATCCTCCCACCTTGTATCTCATAGGTTTAGGACATAGATAGGGAACACTTATGCAATACAAAACAAACGCTAGGCTTAATTTTGATCTGCTCTCTTTAGACTAGCCTTGTTGATTAAATACACTCTGAAGAAGTTTTGTACCTTCAATAAGGGCGCTTTCTTGTATATCTGTTCTTTGTTTGTTGTTGTTCTTTTCAAGAACCTGTTTTGACCTTCTTGGCTCTAGTGCTGATTATTGTTGAGCTCATTATCAGTGCTTGATGGCTTAAAGCACATGATCCTGTGGTTTTTGGGTAGAAAATCCTCAAAGCTAAAAGTATTTTAATTTTGGATCCCAAATGCGTCCTCTTTTTATCTAGTCTTTTATCTCAATAACTTATAAGTTAGTCATCAAAAAGGTTTTGGAATCCTGGAAAATCGAAGAACCAAGACCATATCAGAGGAAGGCATATAAAGCTTTGGCGAAACACCTAGTTAAAGGATAATAAGAAGCATAAGTACTCCACAAGCTCTTTTCTTGATTTTTGGATAGACAGGCTTTTGGACTATTAAGTATTTGCTAACATTAATATAAGCCCCACAAGTCCACACAAATAATCACAACATCAAAGATGAATAAGAAATGTGGTGCCACACATATTATGTTTGAGATGCGTTGATTGCAACTGAAATTGCTTGAAATGCCTCCTCTGTTGAATAAAACATGTAGTTACATAAGACAAGCATCAAACGTGATGACACGTGGGTCGTGGCTAATTCACCTTAAACACCGTCAAAGTTGGCGAAACTAACACTGCTTTTGGAATGAAATTTGCCGCTGCACACACTGTCAAAATTTTTCAAATGAGACCTTTCACGGTCGGTTAATTCAACCTTATTGAAAACAGCAAACTGCAAATACGATGCACACAAAATATGTTTGAATTTCCTTGATGGTCACAAAAATTGGTCAAATGAAGTCCATTCGCAAAATTGATTGTCCTCATTCATCCAAAATATCAAAAGAATCAAAAATAGACACCCATATTATCAATCCCATCACGAATGCAAACATGATTTTTTTTTACATGCGAGATTGATGACACATGTTGGCGAGTGAACAAGGAACAGACACACACACTCATGTAATTTTAGTAAAAATTAGCACATGAATCTAATTATATAAGAATGATGTCTCAAAATTTGTGTAGGCTTATTGCTCCAAATTTGTTGTCATCGACCTCGCATTAATGCATAACACTCTAAAATAAGTACCCATGCGTGATGTTATAAGGCGGCGGGGAAAAATTATAAAATCAAGTACTCGTGTATTTTGTAATGATTAAAGTCTTGCATGACTGATGCTTTAAATACTTCATGTGATAAATTTCAATTAAAATTACAATAATGAATAATTATAAATATTACAGATAAAATTATTGATTATGTTTGTGTTGAATGCACTCATTAAGTGGAGTGGTTCATCCTTAAAAATTAATGCATAAACTTGCAAACATAAACACTCCAAGTAATTTTCCCTGATAATTATGATTTTAAATAAAATTCTCATCCAAAGAGGACATTTTCATCATATATATTAAATCTTGATAAATTCTAGAAGGATTTAGATAACTTAAGATTATATAGGTTCCGTTTGGGGTAGTTTATTTGGTGCAGTGCATTTTGAAAACACAGCCAAGCTCGTTGGTTTGTGTGTTCGCTCTGCTTATCCGAATATGCTGTCTGGGATTTTTAATAAATGCGACTGCACGCTCGACCCCGCGACCCGCGTTCTTTTGTAGGTCTATTACCTGCGTGCCCTTACTCGACCTCCGACCACATTTTTTTGCCCTAAGTGCCTCCTCGCTCGCCTCTCTCCCTCGATTGCTCATCTCTTGTGCTTAGCGTTGTCTTTCACTTCTTCCTCCTCCCTTCGATCTCTGGTTACTGTGCTCTGTAAGTAATTCCTGTAGTAATTGTCGATGAACTGACTTTCTTTATGCGATTTTTGGCTCTCTGATTTGCAATTTGTTGCGACAGTTTCGTGATATTCATGATTTGTGATTTATGATTTGTCATTTGCAGTCTTGTTGGTTATGGATTTGGATCTTGCAAAAAAAAAAAAGAAAAACCAAATGTGGAGTGCTGTTTTGGAGACTGAATGAAAGTTTTTGCTTGATTTGTTGAGTATGAATCTGATAAATGGACGAAAGAGGTTGCTTCATTGTCTCGGGTTTGCTGTTTGAAAAATGTATGAACCGATCAATCTGCTATATAAGTAGCTATACAAAAGAAATAGAATTGTGAGTGTTGGTTTTATTTCCAATTGAGGCAATTTAAATCTTTCATTTCATGGAGAAGAGCTTTCTATTATATATTCACTCATCAATTTACCATATAAATTGTTATACAGAAGTAATAGAATTGTGAACTTTGGTTTCATTTCCAACTGAGACAATTTTAATCTTTCATTTTTAGGGGTAAATTTTATAAGACTCAATTCTGTGCAACACATAACATTCATATCTTTCAAATCTTAATTATCATATCAAACATACCATCTCTTATTTTTGTGTAATGTCTGTTCTATAATTTCATCTATTTTAAAAAATTTTGACTCGAGACATATGTAAAACTCTTATCTTATTTTTTTGTTGTAACTTATGTGCATCATCGTCTTCGCGAGCGGCGTCTTCATCGCGTCTTCATCACGAAACAGTCACAATCAGAGCTAATTAGGACGGGCGATCTGTTCATCATCAAAATCGTCGCTGCTTCCCTCGCCAGCTGCTCCGTGGGTTGCGGCTTACCCGTGCGTGCAGGGAGAGCGGATGACGTGCGTGCAGGGAGAGCGGATGGCGAAAAAGTCGGGAGCTACGCTGCTGCTTCATGAGTTGCAGCTTACTCGTGGGAGTAGGAGGCGGGAGTAGCTTCGAAAGAAGGAAGTTCTGGAGTCTTTTGCGTTTTGCGATCTCGTCCAGTAGTTGCTCTTCCCGAGCACAAGAGTGGAAGAGGGGAGTTTCGGAGATCTCTGCGCATCCCATGCATCCCGAGCGGAGAAGGGACTCCCACAGCTTTAACAGAAGGGAAACTAGCTATTCAATCGTTGCTTTCCCGTGAGCCCTAATTGCAACAACTGGGAGCTTCAAAGCGATTCCTTCATTTGCTATGAAGCAAAGGAGAAGTGCAGACTCCAGGGTGTGTAGGAACAGGGATGTTCAAGTGGCTTAGTGTGGAATAGATTCTGACAAGGGCTTAGATCAGGCATATAAAGCAAAGAATAATTATATTGAGGATGTTAGGTGACAGAGATATTCTGAGGGGTAAATGATTGTAACTTCTGGGCAAGATGAATTCTGTAATTCTGAAGGTTTTGGTCGAGCTCATACAGGGAGTTAGTGTCTCGATAGGAGTTATTACCTCAACACGTGTTTTGGTTCAGCCGAGTGGTTTTCCAGGAATGAGATCAAATTTGGCTGTCTTGAGCTCGGGTAGGACAAATGCTCAGGGGGAAACCAGCAGGTGCTACAATTGCAGAGTTGTGGGACACTTGAGCAAGGTGTGTCCAAATCTACCCTAGGAGAGAGAGACGGGGCGACGTGGACAGTCTTGAGGTCGTGGTCGTAATCATGAGTGCCAAAGGGGTAAAAGAGGAGGCTACCGGGCAAGTGTGATGGTTGCTAAGAACGAGGGAGAGATAGGGGTGGCCTTTATTGATGATGATCATGAGTTACTGGAGATGTTGAAGAGGAAGCAAAGAGCAACATATGATATCACTGGGGATGCATCCACCTTATCGTCATCCAAGGGAAACACTGCGAGTTATACTCACTCAGTCAACAGTTATCGTGATACACATGCTTCTGCCTCTATATCCACCACAAGTTCACTAAAATGGATAGTAGATTCTTGTGCATCTTGACATATGATAGTTGCCACTAGTGAGTTCTCTTTCTATATTCACCTAGCAGTTCTAGAGAGCATTCAGATCGCTGATGGTACAATACAACTTTTGGTTGGTAAGAGAATAGTCAAGTGTTTCAATTTTATTACTTTGTCCAATATTTTGCATGCTTCTTCTTTTCTAGTGAACCTTTAATTCATTAGTGCCATTATACTCCAACTAAAAGATGTTGTTTCATTTGATATTCCAAAGGTGATTTTTCAGGAGAAGGGAATTGGCAGGAAGCTTAGGGCTGACATGTGCCCATAATGGACTTTGGTACTTGGATAGAGTGGGGATGGACTTAGCCTTGACATCCATGGTCGAGATTGCTGGAGCATGAGGATTTGAGAAGAGTATATGTATTGCTGCTACATCGCAGGCACATAGGACACTTGTTGTTTAGTTTATTTAGTTGTTTGTTTCCATCCTTTTTTGAAAAGATGAGTAAGGAGAAAATAGTGTGTGATGCTTGTAAGTTTGGCAAGCTCACTAGGAGCTCTTATGTGAGTTTTGAGAATAAGAGCTCTGGTATGTTTGATTTGATACATTCTAGCACCAAATGAAGTAGCAGAGAGGAAAAATCGACATCTTCTATAGGTAGCCCGGAGCATGAGGATGACAATGAATGTCCCACAACACTAATGAGCAGAAACTGTGTTGACAACCGCTCAATTGATTAGTAGAATTTCCTCAAGAGTACTGGAATGAAAGTTTCCTTGTCAGATGTTGAAATAAGATAATAATGATATCTTTCTGTTGAAGGTATTTGGATGTGTATGCTTTGTGAAATACATTAGGCCATCTGTAGAGAAGTTAGATCCCAGAGCTGTGAAATATTTTTCGTGGGTTATTCTGCTACTCAGAAAAGTTATGTTTGTTAGAGTTCGATTGAGAAGAAACTCTTTGTGAGTATGTATGTGTCATTCAAAGAGTTTGAATAATACTACACTCTGGAGGTAATTTCACCATTTGGTGACATAACAGACCCCGGAGTTGTGAGGCAAGAGAGAGTAAATAGTAGTGGTGCAAGTGGGATCGATGTCATGTCTTGTGATATGGGATGAATCAACTTTGGCGACGAAAATGAGAGATTGAACTTAGAGGTGGTGGGATTCCAACTGATGGTGAGCTAAGGGTGTATACACGGAGAAAGAAAAAAACTAAGGGAACAAATTCTGCAATGCCAACAAGTCCCTTGTCTTGGTCTTCCACAACTCTTGAGAAACCTACACCATCTACCTTTGATTCAAAATTCTCAGGTGATATTATTCCTCCTACTCCTATCTTTACAATGTTAAGGAGGACCTCCTAATTGTTTTGGGTGGGAACTTCACATTGCGAACTTTATTTTTTATTCTAACATCCACTTTTGCATGGAGCATTCATTGCATCATTGAACTTTATTTCTATACTAAAGTGTTGGAAGGTTGCTAAAGAGAATCCCAAGTGGAAAGCGACGATGCATGAAGAGCCTGGAGCTCTTGATAAAACCCGAACATGAGGGATTGTACCACTACCAGTTGGGAATAATGCACCTGGATGTAAGTGGATCTTCACGATAAAACAAACTTTAGAAGGGACGGTGGAGATGTACAAAGCACAACTAGTGATAAAATGATACAATTTTACATGTGGTATTGACTACGATGAAACCATTGCACCAATTCCGAAGATGAGCATGATGAGGACACTGGCTTCTCTAGCAGTGAATTGTGGATGAAAACTCCACCAACTGGATGTTAATAATGTTTTTCTTCACGGGGTGCTACTGAAGAAGGTATATATGAAGATACTACCAGGATTCAGTACATGCCAGATAGTGGGCAATGTGTGTAGGTTTAGGAAGTCACTGTATAGCTTAAACCAGTCTCCTCTTGTCTGGTTTGACTAGTTTAGAATGACGATGGTTGGCATGAGATATCAGCAGATCAATGCAGACCATACGATGTTCTTTCGACAACGCGATGATTACACAATCATACTTGTTGTGTTTGTGGATGACATAATTATCATTGCTGATGATCAAATAGAGATTGCTCAACTGAAGGAAAGATTAAAGAAATAGTTTGAGGTAAAGAATTTGTGATAACTTAGATACTTTCTTGGGATTGAAGTGACCCATGGATCTGAGGGGTTGGTACTATCCCATAGAAAGTATGTACTGGATTTTCTCACGGAGACATGTATGCGGGAGTGCAAACCAACAATCTCTCCAATGGATCATAAGGTCAAGCTCAGTACAAACTTAGGTGAATCAGTTGATCATGAGAGGTACCAGAGGCTGGTGGGCTGCTTGAATTATCTGTGCTACACTCAACCCGATATCTCTTTTGCAGTAAGTGTGGTGAGCTGCTACATGCAGGATCCAAGAAGGGGCCATATTGATTTAGTGTACCAGGTTCTTAGGTATCTGAGGAGCGCATTAGAGAAATTGTTAATATTCAGTAAGAACGAGCATATAAATTTTGAGGGCTTATGTGATTCTGACCGAGCAAGTTGTGCTGATGACATACAATCTACATCAGGATACTACATGTTTGTAGGTGACAACTTGGTCTGGTGGAAGAGCAAGAAATAGTCAATTGTAGCAATATCAATAACAAAAACATAATACAAAGCCATGACATTAGAAGTTGCTGAGATGATGTGACTGAAAGCCTAGTTGGTTGAACACAAATGGATCAGGGAACTCAATTGAAGTTGTGGTGTGACGACAAGTCAACAATCAGTATTGCTAACAACCCAATGCAACACGATAGATCTAAACATGTGGGGATTGATATATTCTTCATCAAGGAGAAGTTGAATAACGAATTTTTGGAACTAAGTGATGTGGCTACTGGAGAGCAGGTGGCAGACTGCTTCAATAAAGAATTTAGTTCAACGGAGTTAGCTAGATTATGTAACAAGATGAGTTTAGTGAATATCTTTCACTCATTTTGATGGGGAGTGTTGTGAGTTATGTGTAATTAGAGGGTTTTATTGAGTTTATTTGTTAAACATTGTAACACTTATTTAAACAAATATGTTGAAATGAAATAGCAATTTTTTCAAGAGCAATCAATTCTTTACTTTTTAATGAAGTTTTGACTTATTAAAGCTACTTCTCAATAATGTATTGGAAGGAATATTTGAATCTTATTTTGGCTCCAAATTATGAATAGTTGCCCAAAATTCATGCTAGGACATTGTGAATGATTAGTTCTAATAAATTGCATATATTGTTCAATTTTTTTGAATTGGCATTTAAGTACATATAAAATTAATTGGAAAAAAAAAAAAAAAAAAACTACAATAACAAACCCAAAAATTGCCTCTAGTTATCCTACCATTTGATCTTGTCATGGTTTATGTGATGGGGGCAATTCATGTGCTTTTTCTTTCCTTTCTTTTAATATATATTTATGAGAGAAGATGTTCTAATAAGCAATGAATTGGTTGCGTACAATTTTACTTATCTGGCACTTTCTCCAGCCCTCCTTGGTCTGATTGCCTTCAACAAAAACTTTCCAGCCTTTGCACTCATGCGGGCGCTCTGCTCTGTGAATATCATCTGTTTATGCCTTCAAGAACTAAGCATTTACTTATTTGAGAATCTTCTCTCCTTTGCACTCCTACAAGCTTTGCTATGTGAATATCTTCCTGTTATTCCTGTTGATTTGGTTTTCTTTTTAGCTTTTGTTTTAGTTTTATGTGATCTGTTTTCCTTGGCAGAGTTTAGATTTTTTTTTGCTTCACGGCTAAGTTTTTTTGTTTGTCAACCCAAGTTAATTATTTCAATGACGAAATTATCTACCTCATACCTCATTGTATATCTTTGGCAGATACTGCGAGTGCTTTGCTGCTGGAGTGTATTGTGTTGAGCCATGCTCATGTCAAGGGTGCTTAAATAAGCCTGTTCATGAAGAAACTGTTCTTGCTACCCGTAAGCAGATTGAATCACGTAATCCTCTTGCATTTGCCCCTAAAGTTATTAGAACTTCTGAGCATGATCAGGAAATTGGGGTAGGAAACCAAAAATTACAAGCTTTTTTTTAATTTAATTTTTTTTGTTTGCTAGATTAATAATCTAATAAGCTTCTTTATGATGCCCATAGGAAGAGAGCAACAAGACCCCAGCTTCTGCGAGGCATAAAAGAGGATGTAATTGCAAGAAGTCAAGTTGCCTAAAGAAATACTGTGAATGTTATCAGGTTTTTGATCTTTATTTAACTATCACCAAACTATTAGGGCTATCTATTTTCTGATATGTATGTATGGTTTCCATCAAAGGGAGGCGTTGGATGCTCTTTTAGCTGTCGATGTGAGGGCTGTAAAAATGCATTTGGAAGGAAAGAAGGTAAGCTTCTCGCTTCTCTTTTTTTATGTTATCTCAGTGAAGAATACTTTCTCTATATCTTCTGGTAATCCTCTTAAACTTAACATTATTTTTATGCTACTTGCTGTGAGATTGTCAAACATGGTAATTTTACGTTTGGTGCCTAAGATACTCCCTCTCATTTTAATAGTGAGATTGCTTGAGCTCAAAGCGCCTTTGTATATTAGTTTATATAATTAAATATTTTTTCCCTTTTTTTAGAAGATATAATTCATATCGTATCTAATGAATGTAGGCTATTCATTGGCATGAATGCTGGTTTGAGGTATTGTATGCAGGTTGAAGGGAATAAAAGTATATTTAATGATATCATTTTTTACAATTAAATGTAATATCATTGTAGTAGATGAAGATATCCATAGCTTATTATTTTACTCAGTTGTTTATTTGAAATATTTATTTTTAATTGTTATTTACATAATTTGAATATGATTGATTTAAGCATATTTATTTAGAAATAAATCCGATATCACAAAAATTTTTATAATACTCAATTTAAGAAGTTTATAATTGTGAAATTGGTTCAAGTAAATAAAATATTATGGTGAAGTTTAATTCAATGCAAAGTTGTTTGAAATTCTATTTTATAAAGTTGTGCAGGTAGCTAGTTATTATTGAATGTTTCTGTCATAACCCTACCTGATAGCTTAAAATTAATCAAGTAAGGAACTGCGATAACTTTCTTTTATGATACAATAATTCATCATAACTTTCAATAATAAATAGAGCCATTAAAAATCACAAGTACACTAAACAAAATTTCAATTCATCCGAAATATAAATATAGATTGGAAGTAAAACATTATCACAATCCAAGTATCAATAGTCCAATATTTCTTAAAATTGAAGAACATAAGATCTCAAAGTAAAATAAACAACCTATTTTCTAGTATCAATAGTTCTTCTGTAAACCAAACCCCTCATGTCAGTTATATCAATCTAGTATTTTATCTGAAAGAAATAATTAATTTAAATAGAAAGTTTACCACAACTTATTGAGATTTCAATCTTATTATACATTAAATTAATATGCAAAATTTATGGAGGAACGATCAAAAGAAATATACTTCGTCACTTAATCATACAGTAAGTTTTCATTTTAAATTTAGTTTTTTTTGTTTTATCAATTTAAATATTTATCATTTTTATTTTTTTAACAATTTATATCAGGATTACTGTCATACCCAAAGATATCCCAAAAAATTATACACGTAGGTACTCTCAAAATTTTGTACTCAAAGATATACCATTACCATTCTCATTTTCTTTTTCATGCACGAGTACATTACATTTACTTCCAGCATCATCTGAGGCTAAATCCTAACGAAATTAAGTCTTTACTTATCATTTTTTATCAATTTAAAATATTTCAATGTACTTTCATATTTCTATTATTTTCCTCCCATTTGCCAATCATCTTTCAAATCTTTAAAATGCAAATCATACATAAAATATTTATTTTTAAAACAATATTGCAAGCTCATTTTGCATCAACTTTAAATATAGCTTCTAAATCAATCATTAATCTAATTCTAATAAAAAAAAATATTCAACATTGACTTAAATGACTTCTTTACCAGCTTAATCCTCTGATTTCTTCCTTTTATTATCACCTTCTTTTTGAGTCTACCTCTTTTGCCCAGTCGACAATCCAAAGCCCTAATTCAATACATCAGTTTTTATAACTACTATTTAAATTTATTAAATCATACTTAATAACATCTATCTAATTAAACAAAATATTTTATATAAATAAATGCCCAAACTCTTACCTTACCAAAGTTTGCTTGGGTCGATCTCTCATCTCCCTTAGCTCGCACACTTCACCAACTTCTTCTTTAAAGCTAAAATTTGTATATTTTGAGTTGTGATTTAATTATACTTTTTATTAACATTGCATAAGTAAACACACACGCGCACACACACACACACTTATATATGTTGAATTCAATAATAAATAACCTAATAAAACCCTAGCATACCTTATACTCTGGTTGGTTGCTCTTCTGCAAACATGTAAGGCTTGCTAATTCTTTCTTCCTCTTCTCATCTTGTTCTCGCACCCAACACAGTGTCACATATCTCTTCTACTTCCTTTTTTTCGATGAGACACTGAACCAAGAATGGCAACACACGAGCTTCTTCCCTTCCTTCTTCCTTCAAACTTGGCTCAACTCCAGTATCGGTACGCGTGAGATGATCTTCTACCTTATTCTCCTTCATCTAGTGAACATCATTGCCTCTTCCTTTGACTTCAGCGCAAAACATTACCCTCAATGTAGCCTCCAAAGAAAACGAGCGCTTCTCCTTCAAGCATTAAGCCACTCACCCCCTCTTAATTCTTCTGCCAATAAGAGTGTTTCCTCTTCATCATTTCTTACCTCTTTTTCTTCTTTCTTCTCCGGTTTCTGCTTTCACTCGTTCTTTGTTTCGATTGATTTGAATGGGTCATGCGACTCTTAAAGACGAAACCTGTAGAGTTGCTTACCCCTTAACTGCTTATTTGATTAGTATTAATATTATTATTATTATCATTATCATTATATTTATCTTTTAATAAATTTCAGTTATTACAATTTCCCTCTTATAAAATTTTTCCCTTAAAAATTTTAAAGGTTAATGGAAAAACATACCTTACCTGAGAGTTGGTGATATCTTTCTTGTATATCAAAAGTTATCTCCCCAGTAGCATCATTTTCTGATTTGAGCTTGCATAAAATTTTAACAAATGGAGTCTCTCTATTACTAAGTTCCTTCACATCATAATACAAAATTCTCTTAAGCTCCCTAATACAAGTCATATGAGGTTGTATCTCTATTAAATATATAACAATTCTATTGGACTCATTAACAATATACTTCATAAGTGAAGATATATGAAAAATATTATGCACTCTTTGCATATTAGTTGGTAAAGTTAATTTGTAAGCCACATTTTCAATCATCTTCACAATCTCATATATACCTACATATCGTGGACTCGATTTTTCTATCTTCCCAAAATGTTGCACATCCTTCAATGGACTGACTTTGATAAATAGAAACCCTCCAACTTCAAACTCCACTTGTCTGTGCTTGGCATCATAATATTTTCTTTGTTTATCCTACACAGCTATTAGTCTGTCTCTGATAAATCTAATCTTTTTAGCAGCATCATCAATCAATTCAACTCTAATGACCTTTCTTTCACCTGCTTTAGCCCAACGGAATGGTGTCTTGCACTTTTTTCCATACACAGTTTTATATGGAGCCATTCCAATACTAGCTTGGTAATTTCTATTGTAAGCAAACAATACCAAGTGTATATGTGATTCTCATTCTCTACCAAAATCAAGGACATATAATTTTGATAGATCTTCCAAAGTCTGAATAGTCCTTTCTAACATGCCATCTTTCTGAGGGTGAAAGACTGTACTGAAATTTAAATTGATGCCCAAAATCTTCTGAATATTCTTCTACAATCTGGAAGTAAATCTTTCATATTCGTTCTAGAAAATAAATTGACACTCCATGTAACCTTATAATTTGATTCACGTATAGTTTGACTAACTTCTCAACAGGTTTTGTTTGTCTAACGAACAAGAAATGGACAGACTTAGTCAAACTGTCAACAATTACCCAAATAACTTTACGACCATGTGGCATCCTAGGCAAGTCAATCACGAAGTTCATAATAGTCTCCTATCATTTTCACTTCGAAATTGATAAGTAATAACTGACCCTAGGATGTTGATGTTTTGCCTTTTCTCACTGACATGTAAGACATTTAGCCACAAATTTTACAACACTCATCTTCAATCCTGACCCCCAAAAATGTTTTAACCACAAATTTTGCAACTCATCTTCAATTCTAACCACCAAAATGTTTTGTTACGCTCCCGATACATTTTATTACTCTCTGGGTGAATAATATAGCTAGCAAAATATCCCTCATCTAGAATTTCCTTCCTTTTGTTATCAACATTTGAACATAAAAATTTCTTTTTTTTATTTCAACCGTACATCCATATTTAACATATACTTCTCTAAATTTACATCCTTGACCTGATCCAAAATCTTCTGAACTGTGATATCCGTGTCGGCGCTTAAAAGGAAAAGGGGGGGAAGGGAA